TGTGAATGGTTCAACACTACAGCTAAGGTTTAAGGTAAGTAAAAAATGATGTAATACATGTTAATATCCATATGGATGGTATCAATCCTTCGTTGTCTACTTTGGTCAAGGAAATTGTGAAGTTTATTTTCCAAAAGTCAAGAAGGATACAATAAAGACATTGAGAGAGCATTCAACAGATGTGGGAAATCCGGATCAGACCCATTGACCCGACCCGAACCCGCCGAAGTAATAGAATATGGGTTGAGATTTTTATAATCCGAAACCCGAATGACCCGAACTAGATTAACCCATAGTTTTTGGGTCGGGTAAGGTTGGTTTGTGGGTCAACCCGCCAGATCCATTCCATTGCATATGCCACTCTAAGCACTCATAAATTGGTAAGATGTTTAAGAAAATTCGTAAGGATTTGAAATACAAGTTTGGAATGCAAATGTAATTAAACATTATTTGTTTATTGTAGTAGTATTACTTTCGTGATTGTTTTTTGACGATTTGTGCGTTCGTATTTCTTTTCATTAGCATGAAAAGAGTTGAGCATTTGTTAATTGAAATGTGTTAGGTAAACTACTGTCACACGTATGTAAAAATTTGTATTCCTTAAAAATTTATGAAGCATGTTTGATATTGTTTCTAAGAACGCTCATAACCCGAAATGACCCGAAACTCGACCCGAACTGGATGGATTGGGTCAAATACCAACCCAACATGACCCGACCCATGACAACCCGAGATTCCCAACCCGAAATTACCCAACCCGGCCCAATTTTCGGGTCTAGCAATTATACATAATCATGCTCGATCTTGGGATTTTCCAACGTTGAGGAATACAATGGTAACTTGCATTATTTGACATAATAAGATAGTTGATGATGAACAACCTATTGAGTTTGAAGAGATGAATGGCAATATAGATTATCAATATGTCGAGACAAACTTGAGTAGAAACATACAGGTCGACACTACAAAAATATTTGGCTCGAAATACATCGATTTGTGATGTTGATGAACATAGAAGACTGAAGAAAGATTTAATTGGGCATCTTTAGGAAGGCAACCGGACATGAATAGTGAGGTGACTTCATATTTGAGTGCGATTCTTTTCCAATGGGAACTAGACATATGCTCATATATGATATACCCATGTGCTTGGGGTTTAACAATGTTTCATGTTTGAGTTGTGTTCAAATATGATTTCACTTTTTACTAATAAAAATTCAACTCTTGTTCACTTGGGAAGTAGAAATGCACATTGAAGCTAGAAATTCGTAATACAAGGGTGGAATTCAAATGCAAGTTAGGGGTTGTTTGGAAGTTGTGATTTCAAATGGTGTATTGAGCCAATGTATGTATTTGTGAGATTAAGTCGTGTTTTTGGCTTATATTGAACTAGAATACAAACATTAACTTTTTGGAGGTCCCACCACAATCACTCATATTCGAGGGATTATCAATCTCTACTTTTTGTTGAGATTCTTTACAATCACTCAAAATTGACTTTTGTGGCTTTACAACAAACCACAATCTAAACTAGAAATAAAAAACCTTCAAACAAAATATTTTCCTAATACATCAATTGATTCAATACGTCAAATGATAATACATTAATTGACTCAATACATCAATTTGAAAAATCACAATTTCCAAACGACCCCTTAGTACATTGAATGAGATAACTCAAGTTAGAAATTCAAATGATTAATAACTTACTTGATACTTGCAATAAGATAAATAACTCAAAGTTCATTTAATTATTGTTTAATAGCTCACAAAATTATTGAACTATCGTGAAGATTGTATTTCTAGATGATTTAATTTCCCGAATTTGATATTGAACACTTATCTCCGTCTAATTACAACATAATTTCTTATCATTTCTAACATTCAACACTTTTTTTAGTATAATTGGTTCACCCAAATTAAACATACTAGAACGGAAGCCTGCGCTACGCGGCGGGGCGTGAAATTATTGCAACAGGAATATTGATCAAACGACAAACTGCTAACACATTCTTCGTTCTTGAATTAAAATTACAACACAACTTAAACATTAATGTGAGGGATGCACATAGAGAAGACAATTGAAACCCAAAAGGCAAGATTGATGGATAGAGATAAATGTAGCATCAGTGGAAGTTGAGAGTCTAAACACCATATGGTACACATGGCAAGGCCTCACGATCAAAAGTGAGTAAAAGGGTAGCTAGTTTAGACTAACAACATAGCAGTGGTTTAAAAGTTTGTGTGTGCTAGATTGTGGAGATGCGAATGCATGTGTGGTTCATCATAGTGTGGGCTCGCAATGTATATTTCTTGCCATAAATTGTCTGTCGCATCGATCTCTGAGGTATTGTTTTTGCTGCTGTTGCGACAACGATTCAAACTCTTTAGGTGCCAGACAAACCAGAGCAAGGTTTGCTTCATGGTTCGTAGTGACTTTTAATTTTCGACATCCGGATTCACATTAAGCATGCAATTTGTAGAATAATCTGGTGGAATGAAAAAATATATACATGAGCAAACAAACTACAGTGTACACAACAATACATAGTACATAGGTGAAGAATGTCAAATGCAATTAGCTTCATTAGGGAAAATGGAAATCTAGTTTATACTTTATAGGGATCAAAAGAACATATCGATGCAAAGTGCTAAAAAAACCTTCATCTTTTTCCATGACCCGCCGTTGCCCTCTCATCAGATGGTGATGTCGTCTTACCCTAGTAACGCTTGCCATTATAGAAAAGGGAGCTCAACGGACCCTCTCCGAAGTGGCTTGATCTGAGTTGGGTTTGTGGATTAGAGGAAAGGAGAAAGAATAGAGGCAAATCACATAGAAAGTGAAAATGTTGTACAATTTTTGACATTACAGGGTGACTCAAGGATCCATGGGTTCGAACGACCCGCCCATGGATTTGAATCGTAGTAACCAATAGAAAACAACATAAGAGGGAAATCAATTAGCATCATTAGAGAAAATGAAAAATCTTGATATTATAGATGACAAAAAACATACCAATGCAAAACACAAAAATTCCTTCATTATCACTCTACAGAGGGCAACTAATACAAATGTTGAAGTCATTCTAACAGATGTGCTTCTCATCGAGACATCAAATACATGACCCTAGTTTCTACTTTATAGCAAGCATTATTGATTAAAAAGTCGAACGAAATTGCATTTTTTGGTCCTTAAATTTGTGGAAAATAACAAAATAATCACCCGTTTAATGTGACTCTAAGTAACAATACCGTTTTTACTTGTTCTTTTAATAAGAACTGACCCAAAATCCGTAAACACTGGATTCAATTCTCTTTGACCGGTTTGATAAAGTGGCCGAGTTTTTGACAAAATTCACACCCGATCTAATCCGTTAATTACAAAAGCGGATAAAATTCGTTCCATACCTAAAATTCGGCAACACCGATAGCGGGTAGAATTACAAAAGCGGGTAAATTTATCCCCAGCCCAAAAATCGTCAACACAGTTTCAACTCGCTTTGTACGGGTTGAATTAGATTGAAAAGGCAGGTAAAATGCATTCTCGATCCAATTTAATGATTACAAAAGTGGATAAAATTCATTCACGCTCCCAAAAGTAGCAAGGGTAAAACTCGTCCTCGACCCAATCGTCAACATTGGATTAAACTCGATATAGTGCGGCGAGTTTTTAACAAAATCCACACCCGACCCAATTTGTTAATTACAAAAGCGGGTAAAATTCGTTCTCGGCCTACAATTCGGCAACACCGATACAATGACGGAAAAAGCGGGTAAAATGCGTTCTCGACCCAATTCAATAATTACAAAAGTGGATAAAATTCATTCACTCCCAGTGTCAAGGGCAAAACTCGTACTCGACCCAAAATTTGTCAACACTGGATTCAACTCGATAAAGCGGGGCGACTTTTTAACAAAATCCACAACCGACCCAATTCGTTAATAACAAAAGCGGGTAAAATTCGTTCCCGGACTAAAATTCGGCAACACCGATACCAAGTCGAATTAGATTGAACACACATGAATTTGGGTTCAATTGTCATAAGAGGAAATATTTAAAATATTTGATTAATGATCCAATTCGTTAATTACAAAAGTGGGTAGAATTCGTTCCCGGTCTAAAATTTGGCAACAACGATACCTGGTTGGAAAAGGCAGGTATAATGCGTTCTCAACCCAATTCAATGATTACAAGAGTGCATAAAATTCATTCATAACCCTAAAATTCGTTCCCGGCCTAAAATTTGGCAACACCGATACCGGGTTGGAAAATGCGGGTATAATGCTTTCTCGACCCAATTCAATGATTACAAAAGTGGATAAATTTTTTGGGTTCAATTTTCACCAGAAGAAATATTTTAAACATTTGATTAATGACCCAATTCGTTAATTACAAAAGCGGGTAGAATTCGTTCCTGGTCTAAAATTTGGCAACACCGATACCGGGTTGGAAAAGGCGGGTATAATGCGTTCTCGACCAAATTCAATGATTATAAAAGTGGATAAAATTCATTCATAACCCTAAAAGTCCCTAAACTCGTTGCTGTCGCAAAATTGCACACGCGACCCAATCGTTGACACCGAATTCAACTCGCTTAACAAAATAAAAGGAAATAAAATTAAAACTCGTTCCCAACCCAAAAAATTACAAATTAAAATATTTGATTAATGACCCAATCGTTGCCCTCACTAAATTGCACACCCAACCCAATCGTTGGCATCAAGTTCAACTCATTTAACAAAATAAAAGGAAATAAAATTAAAACTCGTTCCCGACCCAAAAAAATACCAGGCTCAAACCGGGTTGAATTAGTTTGAATCCATTTGAGAAGAAAATAAATTAGTGAAGTGAAAATTACAATAACTCAAAAAGTCCCTAAACTTATGATTAATTACAAATAGTCACATGTGTCAAGATGAATAAAATTAAAATTATAAAAGGACTACACAAATAGTCACATGTGTCAAGATGAATAAAATTAAAACTCAAATAGTCACATGTGACTTTAAGGAATAGTAAAAAAATTGCTAACTTACAACAAAAGTAATGACATTTTGATTGTTGAACTCGAAAGTAACATATAAATGAAGTTGAATCTATAGATTAAAACTGAAACCAACGCTGAAGTAACAACTTAAGATGAGCCTATATATCAATAAAAAGTTTTACAAGCTTACAAACCAACTGAGAATTTGGTTGGCTTTCTAAAAAAGGAGGATAAAACGTGTATGGGCTACCATGAATCCTTTTAACAACTTTCATCCAATCATTTATCCACCCACCCTCATAGGCCACAACACCAGTTAAAAAAAAGAATCAACAATGTGACCTCGAGCTGAGGTCTCGTTATATCAATTTCACAAATGGTACAATCCACACTCCCTACTCTTTACTCAATCTCGATCTGCCTCAAATCCCAACTTTCACCCCCGACAATAAATTACCAGAACCTCTGGATCGTGTTTTTTTTCTTTACATCGGCCGTGTGTGCCGGCCGGCAGCTCTGCCGCAAAGGAGTGCATTCTTGGGGATTGGGTACTCGTCCCTCAGTGAAGTCGACGTTGTGAAAACCCTCAAATAGAACTGCTGACCGAGGTACTGTCTCGCCCAGTACTCTGACCTCAAGTTCCACATTCCAACGTTGTCTAGAGCAATGTAGATTGCAGTCCATGACTTGGGATACACCTGCAAAATCCAAACATCCGTCGAATAACCCGTTAAAACTTAAAACATTGAAAACTTCAAACATGCCAGCTCGAATCAATTCAACGACGCATTTAACACGATTCAGTGTAAATCGATTCTGATGTGTGGTCAGCCTTTCATAGAATCCAACGGGACTCGAACAGAAAAAGTAACGAATTCAATCATTGAATACAAATCAAATAAAATTGCGTATGTTGCTATCAGACTTAGCTATGGCAGTAGTAACTAAAATAGAACATTGAATTGAAAAGTTACCTGTGTGGTGGATCTCGAAACCGCATCCCTCAGATTGTACTGGTTCCTACTGGCAGTCGTCCACTGCCCGCCATCCAAGCTGCACGCATTAAGTTCCCCAACTTGGTCACAACCAAGACCAACGATACAGCCCACAAACCAAGGAAAAATTACAGAACTTGATCATTTAATAACCAGGCTATGAGAACAGATGATCAAATGTGTGCTCACCCAACGACCCAGAAGCTGTAACCATCTAGATGCCAGCTCTGCACAATATCCTCGTTGTTCTGGAACACGATCTCGATGAACGTTCTGTAGTCAGTGGTGAGAACGGAGGTGTCGAGGTAGATGCCCCCGCCCGTGGGCCTAGAGGAGATGCTGTTCTCCTTGAAAACCCCCTGGATTTTGAAGTAGTCTGCAAGCTTCAAAGGAGTGTCTGCTGGAATAAACGACACGCTGTTGACGGCGTATCTCTGCTTGCGGTTCACTTGACCAGCTGAGTTGGCTAGAACGATGCTCCTCGTCAAGTTGATCATGCCGTAGTGGTAAGAGCCCTGTGGGTTCGGCCTCGGCCCACTTGCCGTCAGATTAGTCCTGAAAAAAAAAACAAGATGGTTGTTATTTGCCGTCCATCAAATTACTATTTGCGGTTCACAACTTATATGAAAAAGTCAATTTTGCCATTTTTTAGAGAAATATATTTTAGTGAATCAAAATTCCAGTAACACAGATTTTTAGACCAATGGCAAAAAAGTACAAATATTTCCTGCACCAAAGCATTACCTGATGGAGCGGGCCTGGTTGAGGGACCAGTCGACCTGATCGGTCGGGCCACCGGGAGGTGGGCCAGAAACTGGGCCGGCGGAGTTGCTGTAGTGCAGAACACCAGTAGTGGTGAGGATCGGAGTTGTCCATCGGGAAGACACCACGATGTAATAGTCTTGCCCTGGCTGGTCGGCGGTGAACAAAACGGAGTAAGATTGGCCGAGGTGGACGTCAAGAGAAGAGTAAGTTGTCTGGAGAGTGTGCGTTCCTTCCACTTCGACCAGCTTCATCTTGTGGTTTTGGATGCGGAAGTTGACCGAATTCTGTAGCCCAACGTTGGATATCCTGAGCCTGTAGGTCTTGCCTGGTAAAAGAAGAACAAACAATGGTCTGACTTAGCTCCAATTCAATACTTCATAATACAGTTTCGGGAACATTAAGGTATCGTTTGCTTGTGGAATTTGGGTGATGAATTTGTCACTCAAATCTCAAATGTTATGGAACATACACAAATTCATTGTTTGCCTTCATAAATCGGTGGAGCCCACGAATTTGAACATTTTTTAGATCCAAATCCGTGAACCCCATGAATTTCCAAATCCCATATTTTATTTGGAATTTATAAATAAAAGCAAAAATGTTAGACAAATTCATGATAAAAATCAACTAAATAAACAAATCCATGATAAATTCAAAGATTTTTTAAACTCAAAAATCAAAACCTTTATTTTCAAATCTAACAAGCAAGAAAGAAAAATCTAAAGATAGTTTTTACTCTTCATTTTCATTTCTTACCTTGCTCGACTGTGAGGGCGTAGCCAGATCCACGACCATTGATGAGGATGCCATCTGCCAGAGGCAACTTGTGGCCTCCATCCAATCGGGCTCTCAAGTCCTACAAATTCCACAATTCCAAGAAATCAACTTCTACCCTCAAATTAACCTTAAATTTATTTCATTTCTATGTTATTAAATATCCGAACAATGCATCCTAAAAAGAAATATGTAATTCCATTTCTTGGTTCCAAGCACGGTCTGAGAAAATGACACAATAACTGTCCTTCCCACGGTGTGAAACTTTTTCAAAGGAACAACAATCCAAACAGCTGCCGACGAGGAAGCTCATTACTGCCCACAGAAGGAAACAGAAGATTACGATAAGATCATTAATGAAGGAATTTACCGTGTGATTGGACTTGTACCAATCTCCGATGAGAATGGTGTAGTCGCCGGCGGGGTCAGCGAAAGGCACCGGAATCCCGGGACGGCTGAGGATTCTGATCCCGCCGAACCCACCAGCGGCCTTGTGGAAGGCAAGCGAAGGGAAGTAGTAGAAGCTGCCAATCTGATCCTTGGCTTGGAGAATGTAGGTGTAATTCTTGCCCGGCGGGATGGGACACGTGGTGCCGTAGACACCATCCACGAATGAGTTTCTCCTCTGCTGCATCCCATTCCTATATTAAACCAATTAAGCAACCATATAAGCTAATCTACTTATTTAGCCCATAATAAGTTCCCATCTCAACAGTACCGGCAATAAATTGGAATGGGTGTTTTAGTTGTCAATTAATTCTCCGCCTTCATTAATGGCGGTGGAGTTAGAAGGAATAGCAGGGCAGGGGAGGAAATGAAAAGAAAACAGAAAATAGTAAATGAATGTTGAGGGTTGAGAGTTTTCAACGCGCATCTTTGGGTTTTCTTTTCCAGCTACCAGTATGAGCTGGCTGGCTGGTAGGGATGTCAATCCAACCCGTAACCATGGGTACCCTACCCGACCGTGACCGGTCAACGAGGGTAATTACCCGCTTTGACGGGTTAAGGGGCGGGTACGGGTAAAACCCGGTTTCAAAATAAAGGGTAGGGTACGGGTATGGTAATCGATAATACCCGCCCCGCTAACCAAAGGGTCAATTTCCCTTGAGAAATTTAGTTTAGCTTGAGAAATTTGGTTTAGCTACCATTATTGATGATGAAGATGTAGACGATTATTATGTTTGTGTGGATTGTAGAAGCAAGAACAATTATTATGTTTTTGTTGTTTTTATTTGTGTGGATTGTTGAAACTAGAAAAATTAGAAGTATTGAGAATTTTTAATGGACAACAATATGTATGTGCATGTATAAGTTCATAGTTTAGGATTCGTATCCATGGTTACCCGAATACCCGTGGTTACCCGGTGGGTAGGGTATGGTTATATAATTTTCATACCCGGTGGTTATTTGGTCGGGTATTTTAGAAGGCTCTACCCGGCGGGTTAGGAGTTGGTATAGAGTAAACCCGCACCCGACCCTACCCATTGCCATCCCTACTGGCTGGTGTGCTGAAAATGGAAGACAGCAAGAAATAGATCTAGACGGAATTCCCCAACTAATTGCGGCACTGTTAAGAAATCCGAAAAAGACTGAAAGAAACAGATTACTTAATTGGCTGACTCCAGAAAAGGGAAAGTCGTTACGGGAGTGAATAGAATTATAGGAGTTCACTGGACCAACAACTAAACCATGTTAAAAAATAATTACTAAGTATTATCAGTTCAGGAGATTGAAAGGGGGGTAATCAAGCATATTAGACAAGATCTTGATTCTTTGGATCAATGTCGATCACTGATTAAATTGAGTAATTAAGAAGACGACAAGCAAACATTCCCAACACTTTTCCCCAACTTTTTTAATTCATTTCGTAGAAAGTGACATCAATGGATGGAGGCAAGCTGGGCAGTGAGACACTGAGTTCAATTTTACACATGGGGAGATGTTTGCTTTGCTTACTCAATCTGCCGCTGCCATGGCCGCAAGAATGGAAAGATAAAACCAGCGGCCATTGGCGAGGGGTTTTAATGAGCTAAATAATTCCAGATCTGAGCGCTTTTCCTCGAAATTGTGAACTCCTCTCAATAACTCAAATATCAGATTTGGGGGGTTCCCGATGGAGGAGGAAGAAACAAAACGGTTCAGAACTCTTTTCTCCTGCTTCCCCGATACGGAAAGTTCACGGGAAAGCAAGCAAGAAAGAGAAAGATTCCGGAACAGAGTGGGTGAACAAGAAGAAAGGCAGTGCACAGGGTTTAGGTTTACCAAGAGAGGAGGAAAGGCTCGTTCAAGCTGTTGTGCACATTGATGATGAGATTGTCGTTGGTGACGCAGTGGATATCCGGCCCCGGGAACGCGCCGTCGATCAGGATCCCCTGTTTTTTTACAGGTCAGTCACACAAAAACCGTAGGAAAATGATAATCAGAGCAAGTTCATGATCGGAGTAAGAGAGATTTTTCAATGAGGAGGTTTTACGCACTCGTTGGCGGACGCCGAGCGGGTAAATGTCGCCGTACGTGACGTTCCAATCGAAGAAGCGGTAGGGAGACTCGGCAGCGACGATGGCGAGGAGGGACACGGCGGCTAGGAGGAGAACAGAGGAGGGCGGAGATCCAGCTGATTTCCGAGCCATTTTCGGGGAAGAAGGAAGGAGAAAGGACTTTTTGTTTTTGTTGGGCCGAGGGGAATGGAATGACGGAGGCGGGGGATGGCGCGGTATTTAAGTGCGGTACAGACTACCAGAGGGATGTGTGTGCCGCGGAGAAGAGAGGGAAATTTCTCTTCCTTCTATTTTTATTTTATTTTACTTATTGACACGGAATAGTAAATAGAAAACAAAATAGGGGGGAAAGAGTGTCGGTGGTGGGGGCCACCCTCGCCGCAAATTAGCAGGAGCCAGGAGGAGAGCTTATACTCCACGATTGGAATTTCTTGTGTTTATTTGAAATTTTGTTCTTGAGAAAAGAAATGAAAATAGGAAAAAGAAGAGGGTTTTCCTTCTCAAGTTCTAGGTTTTTTTTTCTTAGGTTAATTGTTTTAAGTTTTTGTTAGTAGGATGCAAATTCATCCCAATGTTTGGTAACATAGCTGAAACTCAAAAGTGATGTTGCGAAAGTGATGTGTTGATTGTTTGTTTGCAGCGCTATGGTCACAATTCACCGGAATGCATTGAAGTCACTCACATAGAATGGGCATATTGATTTGGAAAAAAGGTTGTTTGGGAATAGAGATACAATGCAAGTTCCGAAGTGGATTATGAAAAAATATATCATCAATTAGTATTTAGTAATACCTTTTACTACGATCTGCTTAATTTCTAAAATAGATTTGGCCGTCGTACATAATGCTCATAAAAACATCTAATTAACTTGTCCACCCATCAGAATGCTAGAACCTAACCAATTTTTGTGGTTTTATTATTTTGAAATCATGTTTTCCTTCTTCATTAGTGATATGTAACTTATATCTTCACATTTCGCCACGGGTACTTCACTACCAGCGTATTTTTGGAGCAGTGAAACGACTATGTTTCTTTCACGACATTCCGAAATGGGTTGAATGATTAGGCAAACATCTACAAGTCCATTGATCTTTCAAAAATAAGACACAGCAAGTGCTTTGAGGAGTCGTGTTTATGTCCATTGTGTTTGGTCTCGTGAGTGGTGTGGAGGGGTGACTGTCTGGTGAGTGGGTAATTTGAAGAAATTATCAGAAATTCAGAATACTACCTTCATTTTTATTTTCCCACTGTAATTTAATTTAAATTACATTACCATAAAAATGTAATTTGAATTTAATCAGATCGGTGTTTTATTTTGACGCGACGAACAAGACGAGCATGTGAATGTGATTGAGAGTTTCATTATTCAGTGGGCCGGCCACTTCCACTTCTTTTCACTTTGAGTGGTTTACTTTTTGTCTCTTCCGGCCCCATTTTTCTTTAACTTAAACTGCATGCACTACTTCCCGCCTTACACTATTTGTGACTTGTGATCTCTTTCGAGGTATTAAAGAAGGAAATCCATAATTAACAAATTGAGAGATCGATCAACTTTAGGAGTTAGGCCCATCTCACTTCTTTTAAGTGAAATTCTATGTGGTTATTGGTAAATATTTGGCGGAGTTAGCTTGGAAGAGGGCGGTTCTAGCTCGGGATTAAGTGGTCGTTTGGAAGTTGTGATTTTTTAGTATATGTATTATTGTATGTATTGACAAATTTGATACATTGTAAAATCCAACGTTTAGTATGTATGATTTTGTATGTTACATATTTACATTAGCTAAAAGTTCGGGTAAAACAATCTCAATTATCTCAGTTAAAAACTGAGATATACTTACAAAAAAATTGAGATATAACAGTCACTCATTTTGAGTGATAGTTTATATCATATCACGAAAACAATCCATGTGTTTGTATGCAAAAAAATCAGAAAAATGATATATTCTAAACAATACAAGTATAATAATAAATAAACTCACGAAAACAATAAGAACTTCAAAATTACCCCTAAGACACACAAAAAATAATAGTATTTGTACGAAACTCGTAATACTCAAATCAAACACCTCATGTTCACTACTTTTATACCAATATTGCAGGAAACTTTATAGCACATATTAACCTTACATATTAGGTAAATAACTTTAGATTATTACATAAAACTGCGTCTCTAATGGTTTATTCTTAGTTTTATAATTTATATTTTAGTGTAGAATTCTCCTCCTCAAACGAAAATACCAACTATAAAAACGCACCGTTGAATCATTTAAATATTAATAATATTTATCTTATATATTTCTATTTTCACGTTGAACCCACCTTTGATAAAATCATGCTTACGTTATATTAGCTCAGTTTAGTCCTGCTGTAGTTTTTGCAGAAGCAGTTTCTGGCAAGAGCTTTTAGAGAAGTAATTAAAAAAACAATTGAGTGTTTGGCTGAAAAACTATTATGAGTGATTTTTAATATGAGAGGTTATGTAAAATGACTATAAAGGATTTAGAAAATAAATATGAATAAAAAATTTAAACAATAAAAAGTAGTCAATATGGATCTTGTTAGATTTCTTTTATATTAAATAATATAATTTTATAATTTATTTTATTGTTATAATGATTGAAATGAAATAAAATTATATTTTCTGAAGTAAGATTAAAATATGGTAAAGATAATCTTGTATGTATACAAAAGTATTTTTTCAGTTTTTCAAAAGTCGAACTTTTAAAAGTGTTTGGCCCGAATTCATCTTTCTAAACCGAAAAACACTTCTAAAAGTCGGGACAAACATAAAAATTAATTCCTATGGTGAAAAATAGAGTTGTCTGAAGTTCCTCTCGTTTTTACTAATATAGTTGGTGGGTTGTGTGTTTTACTTTTTTTCACCATGGGATGTGATTTGTTTGTGTTTTCACGAGCCTTATGTATGACTGGTGTCGCTTTTTACATTATAAAATTGTTTGAAAGCTAACGTGGACATGTTAAAGAATGGATAATTTTACGAGCTATCCTTAATTATCGGGGTATGAAAAAGAGTTCAATAAACTAAATCAAGGTATTAGCTTGTAATTTGTTTCTCCTTTACCTTGTTGATTGTACGAGTATGAGGGTACGTATACAAAAATGACACTCCAACTCATATACATTTATGTAACGGTGATCATCTTTATTTATTTTATAAAGAGCATAGCACATAAAAGGAGCAGATAAAAAATATGATTATAAATAGCCGGTCAGTCAATTACCCCTCGAAGAACAAGATTATGTCACACAATCGATTGTAATTGTGAACAGTACCCAACTAAATACAAATGTTGGGGTAGTAGAGAGGAGCCCATGAAAGTTAAGAGCCCATTGGGCCTTGTTGAGATAGGGGAAAGGGGCTCATAAAAGGAGCCTGATGGGCCTGAAGCCTATTTATGGCCCATAAGAGTATGACCCAGGTGATTGTGAGGGAGCAGGGGCGCATGACGACAAAATAGGCTCGCAGACAAGGGAGTACAGGTGGACAAGGTCAGAAGGGCGCCACGAGGCCAGTGGTCCCCCTATGCGCCCCGACGTGGAAAATGGACGGTATGCCACGTGTAGGCGCGTAGGCGCCAGGGGAGACCGAGCATTTAATGCTAGGCTGACGTAAGTCTTGGTGGCAGGAGTTGGTCGGAGCTTGGTCGAGGAGCTCGAGTAGTATAAATAGCACTTGGTAGGTAGCATTTAAGCAGGTTGGTCTTTCTCACACTAAACTTCTATCTTCACTTCTCTCTCTAGAATAGCTTCTGACTTGATCGTCGGAGTGCTAACGGACGGGTCTAGCCCTCCCGGCGCCCGTCCTGCAGGGTCCAAGCGCCAGGCGCGGAGCAAGTGGAAGAATCTCGAGGGTGTGAGAGTATCACGGCCTCAACAATTGGCGCGCCAGAAAGGGGGCGTTCGGCAAGATAAGAAAGATGGAAGACTTGAATGTTGGAAGTGTAGGCGCTGAGGATGCGAGAACGGAGAATTCCAGTCAGGAGGGGAGTGAGCGGAGATCGAGCCCGGTGGTGAGCATGGACGCAGAGGACGAGAGCCGCGAGCGCCCATCTATGGAGAGTGATACGGTGTCGAAGAGGGAGCTGTTCAAGATTATCGCTGATCAAGACCGAGCTATAGCAATGCTTCGAAGGGAATTGGAAGGAGGGAGGAGCGTTGATACAAGGGAGTACAGCCCCCCGGTGAGGAAGCGGGACAGGCTCATAGATGATTCGGAAGTTAGCGAGTACGGGCGCCCGGGCTATGAGAGCCACAATCCTGAGGTAACACCACCTAGGCGCCCGGGCGTGTGGAGAGCGCCAGGCGAGTGGACCATCCCGGCCCAGGACGAGCAGAACCCATGGACGCCCAAGCGTCAGGCCAGGCGCTTCGGGATCAAGCAACCCCTAGCGCAAAGCGTGTTAATGGAGCCAGCGGGAACTACACTCCTGCCGCTGACCAGCTACGATGGGGTCACTGACCCCGAAGATCATCTGACTTCACGAAGATGCAATTGTATAATAGCACGGACGCCACGTTGTGTAAGGTGTTTCCCTCGACCTTCGCAGGGGTAGTTTTAGATTGGTATCATCAGTTGGAGGAGGGGCGCATCGAGTGCTTTGAGCAATTTGCAGAGCTATTCTTGTCCAAGTTTGCTAGCCGTAATAGGCGGACGTTAACTATAGGCGCTTTGTTTAAAATCAAGCAGAGAGAAGGTGAGGCGCTTAGAGAGTTCTATGACCGCTGGATTTCGGTCGCCATGGCTGTGAAAGATGTACAACCGCCAGTCTTGGGAGTGTGTCTGGAGGAGTGCACGAATAGTGATGAGTTGTGTCGGGTACTGTCTAAGAGGGCGGTAGTGTCGACTGAAGATCTGGATCGAAGGGTTCAGAAGGTTATTGCCTTGGAAGAAACATTGGCTGCAAGGAGGGCAGAGAAGAGGCGTGTGGGTAGAGAAGAAGTAGAGGTGCGCCAGGCGCCTAGGCCATTCATTATGAACAACGCTCCGCAAAGGAGGATGGATGGTCAGCGCCCGCAACCCAGGAGTGTGGGAAATTTCACGGAATATAACGACTCTCTGAAAAATATTCTGCAATATGTGAAGGACAGAGGATACCATGTGCGTTGGCCGGGACCTATGCGTGGACAACCAAACGAGCGGAACCTTGATCGATATTGTGACTTTCACCGGGATAAGGGGCATCATACGGCCGATTGCTACCAACTGAAATCGGAATTGCAGACGTTAGCCGACCGAGGCATGCTCAACGACTTCATAAGGAAAA